CCGTAGACACTAAAAAAACAAAAAGTATATGTAGAATATATATGTAGAAAATATACGTAGAACGAAAAATTTATTACGTAAACTAATTAACAAGTAATCGGGTAAAAATTTTTTTGTTTAGCGTTAGTGCAAAAAAAAAATAAAATAAATCAATCCGACAAAACCGACATCTAATCCCTCGTGACCTTCCACAACACTAATCTTATTTATTAATTAGGCCAATCCATAACGAATGACTTATTTTGATATGATTCTTTTTGATAATATTTTTAAGGCAATACTATGTAAAGTAAGTAAAGTAAATAAAATACACCATTCACCATTTAAAAAATTTTTACACAATGCTCAAGTGTCTAAACATTTAGGGAGCAATCTGCAATAAAGTGAAAAAAAAAACGATTAATGATAAGGTATTCGGATAAAGATCGTTAAAAAATTATAAGTTATCTAAGATTAGCACTTTACATGAGGCGTGACATCACAAGACCTCCTAAAAAGTGAAGAAAATGCACAGACGGTTATTTTACTGCAGAAATCAAGGTAACAATTATATCAAGTCATCACCAATCACCTCATAATTGCTGTTTCTGGTTGACATACAGGAAGCTGCAGGAAGATTGCATATATAAAGATATATATTCAAGAACATGATTGAGAAGGCTGAAAAGAATATCCATACATATTTAGACAATCGACCAATATAGTTTTTTTTTTTTTCTGTACAAATTATAATTATAATTGTCTTGTCAATGATTTCTTTATCGTAATGTGAAATAGTCTAGCATACATTTCGAGAGTTAACCGATCGAGAACTAAACATGTGAAATTTTTTATAAAGGTATAAAGGTATAAAATAACTAAAAGAATAAAAAGAATAAAATATATAAATGAATTAAAACTAGTTTAGAGAAGTATAGGTTATAAATGCATACGGAAGTTACCCCGCTTTACCGATTCTTTACGCCACGTAAATTATTAATTTCAAAAAAAATCCCAGATGTTACTTTGTGCTTCTTAACAGTTACACTAGCTTTTGTCTCAATTGTCTATATAAACCATGCGGAAACGACCTTCTGAAAGTTTAAAAAAAAGACGAGTTGTCGTTTTTTCTTTAATTTTTTAAATTTTTTTAATAATTTTTATATATTTTAAATTTTAAATAAATATAAATATATATATATATATAAATATATATATAATTATATATATATATACTTAATTTTTTACCCATATCTTTTTTATCATCATCATGTACTGCTTTAATCCTTTTAAGATTAGAAAATTCTCAAAAAATAATATTTCAAAACCAAAAGGGCCAACTGCTAAACCACAACTCCCACCTTCCTTTGAAGAAGATGAAACAAATTCAACCGAAAAAGTTGTGAAAATGCTGTCTAAAGCCGAAGAATGTTTCGAGACGCAAAAATATAAAGAATATGTTGAATTACTTGAGCAAGCAGTTCAACTTGGTTCAGCAAAAGCCGCAGCCAAGCTTGCTTTAGTTCATCACACCGGTCTGAAGTCTGTTGTTTTACAAGACTATGCTATCGCTTGTTCCTACTATTTCTGCGCTTTGAAATTTTTATACATTATGCCTTCTAATCAATGGGAAATGGAATTATTATTGAGCATAATCGCGGGCTTGTCTGATATCTATAGGTAAGAATTTAAAAAAAGAAATATAAAGTCGGTAATAATTTGTAGTAATAAATTTTTCGTTCTACGTATATTTTCTACATATATATTCTACATATACTTTTTGTTTTTTTAGTGTCTACGG